TTTCTATTATTTACTTCCATGTAAAGTAATTGAACTCTGCTTTTTTTCCTTAATTTTCTTCCCATACACATTAATTACTTGATTTTCCTTCCTTACACTTTACTTACTTAATCCCATTCTCAACCTAGTCCTTGATATCACCAGAACAGTCTCATTTGACTAATTCCATTGCTGTATCCACAGGCCAAAAGAAAAAAAAAAAGAAATATATCCTAACAACAAGACCTCATGGTGTGTTGTTTTTACTACAAATTTTCCTTTTCTATTCTATACCCGTCTTATTCAATACACAGGGATTCCAAAATTATGTTAACTTATCGAATATTACAATATCTATTTTTGGGGTATTCTGTTATTAGATATTTATGTTTTTTCTTTAATTTTCTAGACATTTCTTCTTTTGATACTTCTGAAAAAAAACGTATGGATTTTCGTTTTCCTCTTCCATTGCAATGTCTTGTTTTCTTCCCTAAAATTTAACCATTATCTTTGAAATTTCTTTGTCATTTCCGCCCCCGACAGGTGCCGCCCAGGTCGAGGAACACGTCGCTGCCGAAGTTCCCGCCAACAAGCCCCTCCCGAGTCACTCCCGCCAACCAACGCCACTCCCCAGTCACTCTCACGAACCGGTCCCACTCCCCAGGCACTCCAACCAACCAGCCCCACTCCCAGTCATCCAACAAACGTCTCCGTCCCAAGCAACGACACTCACGCCCACTCCCGAGTCACTCCCACTAACCATCCGACTCCTGAGTGACTCCCACCAAGTAATGACACTCCCGCCACTCCCACCAACCAGTACCACTCCTGATTCACTCCCACTAACCTACCCAACTCTCGAGTCACTCCCACCAACCACCCAGACTCCCGAGTCACTCCCACTAACCAGCGCCACTCCCGATTTACTCCAGTCTATCAGCCCCACTCCCAAGTCACTCCCCCTAACCAACCCAACTCCCGAGTCACTCATACTAACCAGCCCCATTCTTGAGTCACTCCAACTAATCAACCCAACTCCCGAGTCACTCCCACCAACCAGCCCCAGTCTCGAGTCACTCCCACCAACTTTCTCACTCCCACTAACCAACCCAATTCCCGATCCACTCCCTCCAACCAGCCCCCACACCCGACTCACTCCCCCAACCAACCCCTCTCCCGACTCACTCCCCAACCAGCCCACTCCCGACTCACCCCCAACCAAAACTCCCGATTCACCCCCCAACCAACCTCCCCAACCCACCCACCCCCAACACGATGACCGTAACCTGGCAAATCGTCATGACCATGGCAGTCTGGCACACGGCACACTCCGCCCCCTCAGCCAACCCCGCCCCTCGACCCATCACGCCACGCCCCCACAGAGCCCTCGACCCGACCTCCAGTAGCGGCGGCCACAGGTTCTCTCGCGCCCATTTCGAATTCACACTCGACCTGTACGGCGCCCTCGTGAAGGAGTCGACGGAGCAGGAAGCCAATGTTCTTTTCAGTCCCGTGTGCGTGGCGGCGCTTCTCTACCCGCTCCTGCTCAGCGACGACCAGGTGCTCAGTCAGCAGGTGAGGCAGGTGAGTTGATGATTTTTTGTTGTTGTTGTTGATGTTGGTAGTTTTGTTGGTGTTGGTAAGACTATTTTTTGTTATTTTTTATGGTCATTTTGTTATCATCATTCATTTTCATTATTATCATTATCATTGTTACATTATCATTTTGTTGTATTTATCATTATATATTTGTTATTATTATTATTACTTATTACTATACTACTATACTATTATTATCATTCATATCGTTATCATTGTTGCTGCTATTTCTGAAATGCCAAATATTTTTCTCTTTTTTCGTATACTTTGGTCGTTTCTGTCTGTTTTTTTTTTTTTTTTTTTTTTTTTTTTTTAGACATTGTGTATTTATATGTCTACTTTTGCATCACTTTCTTTACCTTATCCTCAGATATATGCAGGTTTACCCAGTTATCTATCCTTTAATTAGACAGCTCCCTCTCGCTCTCTCTCTCTGTGTCTATTTATTATCTATTTATCTGTCTGTCTCTCCCTCTCTTTTTCCTCTCCCCTCTATTTTCCTCTCTCATCCTTTAACTCCCTCTTCTCTCCTTCCCCCTTACTTCCTCCCCTTATATTTCTCCCTTCCCCCTTCTCTCTTCGCATCTTTCTCCTCCCCATCCTTCCTTCCTCACTCACTTCCTTCTCCCTCTCTCACCCTCTTTCTCCCTTTCCTTATCCCTTATTCTCCCCCTTCCCTCTCCCTCTTTCTCCTCCCCTTCCATTTCCGTCCTCTCCTCCTCCCTCTCCTCCCCCTCTCACCCTATTTCTTTCCCCCTTCCTCTCCTCTCCCTCTCCCCCTCTCCCTTTCTCCCCCCCCCTTCTCTCCTCCTCCCCCACCCCCTCTCTCACCCTCTTTCTCCTCCCCGAAAGGTCCTGCGATACTCCAACATGACCATCGCCGACATTCGCGAAGGACACACGACCATGATGGACAACTTCGAGGACCCTTACTACCACGGGAGACTCCACGCTCGTCTTCGTGCAGTCCGGGTCCCCTTCAGCCCTTCGTCGCGGGCAGTACAAGGGGCCTGCGCAGGAGGTCGACTTCTTGGGGAACGTCACGGGGGTGCTCAAAGGCATCGATCAGTGAGTCTTTTGGTTTTTTTTTTTCTTTTTTTTTCTTTTTTTGGGGGGGGTAAGGTGTAGGCGCTCTCTCTCTCTCTTCTCTCTCTCTCTCTCTCTCTCTCTCTCTCTCTCTCTCTCTCTCTCTCTCTCTCTCTCTCTCTCTCTCTCTCTCTCTCCCTCTCCCTCTCCCTCCTAGATTCGATCGCGGGAAGGTCCTTATTTCTTGTTCGTTTCATACGTATTTCAGTTTTTAAAAAATGAGAAACAAACAAATACTCAAACACACACACACACACACAACAAACGGCGTGGGTGCCACCAAAGCCTTTCATTCTCATTCACAACTCGCAGGTGGGTGCAATCTCAGACGGACGGGCAGGTGGTCGGAGCAGTGACCGAAGCAGTGACTGAGGCAGTGACCGGGGCAGTGACGGAGCAACAGGGTGCTGTAGAAGGCCTGGCCGTAACTAGGCCAGTGGCTCCACCAGTTCCAGCCGAACCTCACTTTTGACAAGGGTCTCTCCAAGAACAAGTGTTGGTGTTTATCGCGTCTGTCATTATCTGTTTTGTTATTTGGTACCACACGCATAAACTAATAGGCGAGGCAACCGTTTCGAAATCCTTCTGAATTTCATCCGAAGAGGAATAGAAAAGGAAGGAGTAGAAGTGGGAGAGTGGAGAATCAACGCGCTGAACGCAGGGCAAGTGTTGACAGATGAACGGAAGCGAAGGTCGAGGTCAGGTCAGCTCGAAGGATCAGCGGATTATGCGAAGGCTGGCCATCATAAGGGGGTAGTCTGAAGATATGGGAAGCGAGGAGACGCTTGACAGGGGAAAAAAAGGAAACACCAATCAGATTGAAATTAGGAAGCAGCTTTATCAAAGAGGCTTCTACCAGACTGCTAGCATGGACATCAGCAGAAGGGAAGACGATTCACGCAGCTGACCAGTCCATCTGATGGTCTGTGCCCCACTGATGGCAGAAGAGGGCACTGTTGTTGTCCCCTGAATACGGCATATTCATGTTGAGGCAGAGACAAGTAGCACAGATATCCACCTTCGAGGTAAAGGGAAGACTGATGTGGATTAGGTAGCGATGGAGTGTTTACTTCGCGAAAAATAAGTTTGCAGTTGAGAGGGTCAAAGGGGTGATGAAGAGAGATCTCAGTGTACCATTATCATCCTTATTATTACTATCATTATCATCATTATTGTGTTTTTTTATTCAGTTTATATTCTTTATCGCGTGGCGTCCCTCCCCCAAAAGGCAGGGTTTTAAGACATGGTAGAAAAGGATTGTTGGTTTATGTTCACGCCAGGCACCACAATGAAGCCAGATTTGTTTTTCTGTTCACCGATTTCTGGATGAATTGAGGCCCTTTTTTCATTATTTTTTTTATTTGAATTGTGCGCCAAAAACCCGTGTATTGTAATCTCTTCTGAGAAGGAAATACAGATGATTTTTTTTAACGATTTGTTATAATGGTTAACTAGGCTGTATGCATATCCTCTAACACGCTCTATGTATCAGTCAATAGACGTTAATACTATGAAATCTATCCAGTACTTACATAGAGGAATATCATGGACTCCTATTTTATTGTCCCCATTATCCCTGTTTCGATAATCTTGCCTTTGTCTCCAACCTTCTACCTTTCTTTCTTTCTTTCTTTCTTTCTCTCTCTCTCTCTCTCTCTCTCTCTCTCTCTCTCTCTCTCTCTCTCTCTCTCTCTCTCTAACTTAATCTAATCTTTCCCTGACTTCCCGTAACCTATCACAAAATCTACTACACCCTACCACAAACCTTATCTTCACCTACCTTAACCTACCACAAAACCTCCCCTAACCTACGATAATCTACCTCAAGACCTACCTTCACCCACCTTAACCTACCACAAAACCTCCCCTAAACCTACGATAATCTACCTCAAACTACCTTCACCGCCCTACACAAAACTCCCTAACCTACGACAATCTACTCAACACCCACCTTCACCTACCACAAAACCACCCCTCAACCTCCCCTTAACCATCCCCAAGCAGGTTCGAAGTGCCCATGATGGTCGGGAAGCTCGAACTACCATTAGGATACTCGCCCGAAATGGAAGTCCGGATCCTCGAACTCCCCTACGCATCCCGCCGTGTCTCGATGTTTGTGTTGTTACCCGACGACCCCGCCTTCGGCCTCGCTCGGCTGGAGGCGAACTTCACCTCGGACACCGTCAAGGCGCTCTTCTCCACGCTGAAGGTAGGTGGGTGGGTGGGGGTGGGTAGGGGGGGGAAGGTGCATGTGTGTGTGTGTGTGTGTGTGTGTGGTGTTGTGTGTGTGTGTGTGTGTGTGTGTGTGTGTGTGTGTGTGTGTGTGTGTGTGTGTG